AAGCACAAGCATGAGTTTAAATAGAGAATGAGAACAAAGAAGTGAAGAGTGAGTAATCCAATCACAACACAGGGGCCCTGAGTTCTCTAAGGGAGGAATCTACTGATTACTGGAGAACAGGGCTGTTTACTGGAAAAGAGAACAAGGCCGCGGGCCAAGGTTGTGGCCTGAATGGAAAGGTCACCAACTCAGGTCTGCCAGCAGCCCCAAGAAATGGCTGAGCCTCAGGCTCCCAACAAACAAATAATTTTTTCTAAATGCTCTAGCACTATTAGGCAGGAGAGATAAGATGTTTTCTTTTCTCTACTGCAAAGTAGTTTTCCCTTTGTTTTTGGTCTTTTTGAGACAGGATCTCCATGTAGCCCCAGCTGTCCTGGATTCACCATGGAGACCAGGCTGGCCTCAAACCCACAGAGATCCACCTGCCTCTGCCTCCCAAGTGCTGGTATTAAAGGCGTGTGCCACCACGCCCAGCAGTAGTTTTCCTTTTTAAACCTTCTTTATTACATTTACTTTATTTGCTGGAGGTGGTCACTGCCATGGCATGCTCATGGACGTCAGAGAATAACTTGCTGGAGTTCGTTCTCTCCTTCCACCATATGGAGATGGAATGCATATTATCCAGCTCTGTGGCAGGCACCTTTACCCACAGAACCATCTGACCAGCCTTTAGCAAAGTGTTTTTATGCACGTAAATCCTTGCAACGCTATAAAGTCAGCTTAATTGACCTGCCCAACCTTTTTGAAGTAAGATAGCACAATAAAAAAAGGTGAGATAATTCTCCAAGGCAAACTATTTCAAAGTACTAAAATGGGGACTCTCTGACCCCCCTTGTCCCAAATTTTCTCTGCTAATTCCCCTGCAGCGGTGATTTTTCCCTTTGTATTTCTGTAAAATATTAACTTTTACAAAAGTTTTCCTTGTTTATGTAAGAAAAAATAATTTTTTTTAATTTTATGTGTATGAGTATATTGCCTGCATGTATGTGAGCGCACCCATGTCGTGCAGCGCCTTGGAGGTTAGAAGAGGGCTTCATATTCCCCTGGAACTGGAGTTAAGGACGGTTCATGACTACCATGTGGGTGCTGGGAATTGAACCTGGGTCTTCTGCAAGAGCAGTCAGTGCTCTTAACCACTGAGCCATCTCTCCAGCCCCAGGAAAATGTCTTTTTTTTTTTTTTAATGTGTATATGTGTTTTGCCTGCATGTAAGTGTACCAGGTATGTGTAATGACCACTGAGATCTGGAGTTCAGGGCGGCGTTTAGCTGCCACGTGGGTGCTGGGAATTGAACCTGGGTCCTTTGGAAGAGTAACCAAGTCATTTCTCCAGCCCCCCAATGTCTATTTTTAAATCTAGTTTTAAACTTAAGGGCCTTTGTAAACCATATGTGTTGTGCTATTCTCTACTAGGTCTTGCCAGAAGTTTAGGTCTAAAGGGTTCCCTCTTTTTGTTTTGGTTTTGGGGTTGTTTGTTTGTTTGTTTGTTAATTGCTTTTGTTGTTGTTTTTAAGTAAGATCTTACTGTGTACCCCAGGCTAGCCTGGGCATGATCCCCCTGCCTAAACTTCCCCAAGTGCTGGGATTACAGGTATGTACCACCATGCCCATCTCTAGGTTCATTTTAATAACTTTTGAGACACACAGCACTTTTTAAAAACTATTTTATTATTTTAAATTTTTATGTGTATGAGTGTAGTGCGTGCATACATATGTGTGTCCACATCATGCCATGCTTGTGGAGGTCAGAAGAGGGCGTCGAATCCCCTGGAGCTGGAGTTACAGGTGGCTCTTAGCCACCATGAGACACAGAGCATTTGTATAGTAGAAGGCTACACTGAAGCTTAAATCTGGCTTATATACCGAGTAGTAAAATTTGATTTAATTCAGAAATATGAAAGTGGTGTTTCGATATTGTTCCAAAATATTAGTTGGTTGCTAAAACGCTGGTTTTAACTACATGTTATTGATTATCAGCTGTGCCACAACCGCCACCTGGTGGAGGAATGGTGATGATGCAGCTCAGCGTACCAAATAATCCACAGTCTCAGGCCCATTCGCCCCCACAGTGGAAACAAAACAAATATTACTGTGACCACCAGAGAGGACAGAAGTGTGTAGAATTTAGCAACTTAGACAATATTGTCCAGGTAAGATACTTTGGTTTGGTTCATTATCATTTCAAAACTTAATCTTATCATGTATGATGTTTTAACACTGAATTTTAAATCTTTCAAGCAGATTAATAAGGAAATTTAAACATTCTTTTTTTTTTTTTTTTTGGTCTTTTTGAGACAGGGTCTCCCTGTAGCCCCAGTTTTCCTGGAACTCACTATGTGGACCAGGCTGGCCTTGAACTCACAGAGATCTGCCTGCCTCTGCTTTGCACCACCATGCCCAGCGGAAGTTTAAACATTCTTTACATCCTGACATTTATATCAGTATTCTCAGTATTCGAATACTATTTTACAACTTTTTTTTTTTTGTCTTTTTGAGACAGGGTCTCCCAGTAGCCCCAGCTATTTTGGAACTCACTATATAGACCAGAATTCGCAGAGATCTGTCTGCCTCTGCCTCTCAAGTGCTAGAATTAAAAGCATGTACCACCATGCCCGGGGCTACAACTTTTTTTTTTCAAAGATAGGATCTCATGTTGTCCAGGCTGACCACAGTTCAAGAACTCTTGATCCTCCTGCCTCAGCCTCTCATGTGTTAGGATTACAGACATGTACCACCATGCCCAACTTTTACTTGCCAATTTATATATTTCCAAAGTAAATTTAACATTAAAAAAAATATCAAGAGGGCTGGGCATGCTAGTTCATGCTTATAAATGCCTGCATTCAGGCAGAAGGATTGCAAGTTTGGTGAAGAAAAAGAATCAAGTACTAGGCATGGTGCTGTAATTCCCGCACTTGGGAAGTAGAGACAGAAAGGTAGGGTTTACAGAGTTCTCCTCACCTACTTGAGTTTGAGCCTGACTGGGTATACTTGAGGCTGTATCTCCAGAAAACAACAAAGAACTAGTACAAATTACTGGATGCTAAAAACTTTAGGTGGAAATGTTTATGTAGGCCAATAATACTAAACAACATTGAACCTAATAATCAGGATGAACTCACTGTCAGTTTAGCATCACTAAAGGTAGACCAGCAAAACATTATTTACCTCTTACTAGGCTATAGGAAGAAGTACAGGACTTTTATCAAAAAAAAAAAAAAATGAACCTAGTCAGACAACTAAACTGTGTAGTGGGTGACACATACCTTTAATCCCAGCACTAGGGAGGCAGAGAGAGGCAGGTGGGTCTCTGAATTAAAGGCCAGCCTGGTCTACCTAACAAGTTCTAGACCAACCAGGATGATACAATGAGACCCTGTCTCAAAGAAGAGAAAACAAGAACCTAAGTCTGATCAATCCTTTCAGTCCAGTTGCTAATTTGTAGGCCATACCAAAGAAAAAAACCAAATTATATGATACTAATAGGATTTTTTTTTCTTATGTGTATGTGTGTATTGCCTACATGTAGGTAAGTGCACCTGTGTCATGCAATGCCCACGGAGGTCAAAAGAGGCTGACAGATCCCCTGGGACTGGAGTTACAGACAGTTGTTAGCTGCCATGTGGGTGCTGGGATTCGAACCTGGGTCTTCTGCAAGAACAACCAATGTTCTTAACCACTGAGCCATCTCTCTAGCCCCTAATAGGATGTTTTTAATTTTTAAAATTTTATGTGTATGGGTGTATTGCCTGCATGTATATAAGTGCATCTGTGTCATGCAAAGCCTGCGGAGGTCAGAAGAGGGCATCAGATCTCCTGGAATTGGAGTCACAGATGGCAGTTAGCCACCATGTGGGTGTTAGGACTCAAACCCAGGTCCTCCGCAAGAGCAGCCAGTGCTCTAACCACTGATCCATCTTTCCAGCCTCACCAATGGGATATTTTATGGAGAAATTATCCTTTTTAAAAAGATTTTTTATAAGCCAGGCATGGTGGCACACGCCTTTAATCCCAGTACTTGGCAGAGGCAGGCAGATCTTTCTGAGTTAGAAGTCAGCCTGGTCTACATAGTGAGTTCCAAGACAGCTGGGGCTACAAGGAGACCCTGTCTCAAAAAGACACACACAAAAAAAGGTTTTTTTTGTTTAATTATGTATATGTGTGTGTATGTAAGCATGTAAAGACAGGACCCGTGGAAGCCAGAAGAAGACATTGGATCCCTTAGAGCTGGAGTTACCAGCAGTTGTGAGCTTCCTGACATAGGTACTGGGAACTGGACTCAGGTCCCTTGTAAGTTCCTGCTATTAACTGCTGAGCCATCTCTCCAGCCCCTTTCCTTTCCTTAAAAAAATAATACCACCATTTAAGAGAACCTCAAGAGTTGTAACAAATGAATCATTATACGGCTCTTGTTTCATTATTGAATAGTCAAAATATTTTTATTTCAAAAAGAATATTTGTGGCCAGGTGTGGTGGCTCACACCTTTAATCCCAGCACTTGGGAGGCAGAGACAGGCGGATCTCAGAGTTCAAGGCCAGCCTAGTCTACATAGTAAGGACAGCTGGGGCTACAGGGAGACCCTGTCTCAAAACAACCAAAAAGAAACAAAAAAAAAATTTGTGTTAAATTTGTCAATATAGTAATGATATGTATCCTTATGTTTAAAAGAGTTCTCATTGAAGTGTTTACATACAAAATATTGTATCTGAGATTTGTTTTAAACACTTCAGAGAAACAAGGCAAATACAATCTCTGTGGAAGCTCAATGAATGCAGGAAGGTTCACTATACTTTCCTGTCCATGCTTTTTTTTTTTTTTTTTCTGATCTTTTTGAGACAGGGTCTCCCTGTAGCCCCAGCTGGCCTGAATTCTCTGCCTTAGACCAGGCTGGCCTTGAGCTAACAGAGATCCACTTGCCTTTGCCTCCCAAGTTTTTCTGGGATTAAAGGTGTGCACCATAATGTCCAGCCTCCTGTTCATGCTTTTTATTATTATTATTATTATTATTATTATTATTATTATTACATTCATTTATTTGTGTGTTTGCATGCATATATGTACCCATTGTACAGCATAGTGTGGAAGTCAGAGGACAACCTGTGGGATTTGGTTCTCTTCTTCCACCATATGAATCCTGGACTTTGAACTCAAGTCATCAGACCTTGGGAGAAGAGCTTTTACTTACGAAGCCATACTTGCTCCACCTTTTTCTTTTTTTTTTTTTTTTTGAGACAGGGTCTCCCAATGTAACTCTGACTAGCTGACATCAAACTCAGAGATCCACCTGCCTTAGCCTCCTGAGTGCTCGGATTAAAGGTCTGGCCTACAAATAGGATTTTTTTTTTTTTTTAAGTAGGAAAAAAAGTTTTCAGTATACATGATGAAATCATAGCAAAATACTGAAGGCAAAATATGTGTATAGATATGTTCACAAACTATAAATGGTCATTGGCCATTAAGAAATGAAAAAAGTACTTTTTGTTTACTTGATTTGGGGATATATGTGTCTGTCTAGGTCTCTATATGTGTGATGCTGGAGATTGGGCCTGGAGCATCATGCATGTTAGGCAAGTACTGTAGCACTGAGCTGTAGTCCAACCCTAAAGTACTTTTCATATATCAAATTAGGAAAGTTCAGTTAGACATTATTTGTAGTATTGACAAATATACTATGTTACAAGCTTTCTTATATTTTATATTCATTTGAGTGTAGTATAAATTGGTACAACTCTCTCTGGAATGTTGTTTGGTGACAGTTGGAAAAATTATGCAAGATACAAAGCCTGATTTACAATCCACTTGGGAGGCAGAGGCAGGTCTCTGTGAGTTAAAGGACAGCCTGGTCTATATAGTAAGTTCCAAGTCAGCTGGGGCTTCAGGGAAACCCTGTCTCAAAAAAATAAAAACCAAAAGGGGCTGGAGAGATGGCTCCGTGGTTAAGAACACTGGTTGTTCTTGCAGAAGACCCAGGTTCAAAGCCCAGCACCCACATGGCAACTAACAACTGTCCATAACTCCAGTCCCAAGGGATCGGACAGCCTCTTCTGACCTCCGTGGGCATTGCACAACACAGATGCACTTACCTACATGCAGGCAGTACATGCATACACATAAAATAAAAATAATAAAGAAAATTTTTTTCAAAGTTTAGCCGGGCGTGGTGGTACACGCCTTTAATCCCAACACTCAGGAGGCAGAGGCAGGTGCTGTGAGTTCAAGGCCAGCCTGGTCTACATAGCGAGTTCCAGGACAGCTGGGGCTACAGGGAGACCCTGTCTCAAAAAGACTTTAAAAAAAAAATGTTTAAAAAAGTTTTTTGAATGAACTTTGTAATTTAAATTTAGATCACAGTATTATACTCTTAATTTATTGGATTTGATGGTGCTGTGGTTACAAAAGGAAATGTCATTATTTTAGGAAATAGACACTGTTTTTCTCCTAAGGATTATCATGGCTTCTCACTCAGATTATTTTCAGAGGTCTGGGGATGTAGGCCACTGGAGAGCATTTACCTAGAATGTGGAAGGCTACAGGTTCGATCCCAAGCACTACAAAGAGAAAAACAGAGCTGGGCATGGTGATGCACACCTTTAAACCCAGCACTCAGGAGGCAGAAGCAAGTGAGTCTCTCTGAGTTTGAGGCCATCCTGGTCTATATAGGGAGTTTCAGACCAGATAGGGATACAGGGAGACACTGCTTCAAAGAAAGAAAGAAGGGGGAAAGAGAGGGAGGGAATAAATTTCCCTTTAAATTATTTTCATTTTGTGTGATCCTGTCTGAATAAAAGAAAGAAAACAATTGCCCTTCTCATGGTCAACTGCTGATGTGACTCAGTGGTAGAGCACAAGCCTAGCGTATTTCAGGCCCTAGATTCAATCCTTAGCACTGTCCCCAAACATTATAATGGAGCTGAAAAATTCCTATCACCTAGTAACACTGTAGTTGTCTTAGCTTGTCTAAGTACATTCTGATGTTCACATAATGCCACAGTGACTTAATGACAAATGTCAGAAGGATCTCCATCATTAAGTCACATGACTGTGTATACAGAGGAAGAGACAGGAAATAAAATAATAATAATGAAAATGCAAGCCAAGTCTGGCGTGCATATCTATAATCCCAGGACTTCAGAGGTGAAAGAGGAAGTTCAAGGTCATCCTCAAGTACATAGAGAGTCGAAAGTCAGCTAGGTAATGTTCTCCAGGATGAATTATTTTAAAATGAAATTTTATAAGCATTTAATATGGAAAAGAAGAATGAGTTAGGTATATATATTCTCTCTTACTAAAAAGGCAATATTATTGCCAAGGTACAAAGCTTGTTTCAAAAACACTATTAGTTTGTTCTCATTTTTGTAATAACAAGTGTGAATGCATATATATATAGGAACAGTCTGTTGCTGGTGTTTCCTGTCAGGAGTTGAGGATTATATAGTCCCATAATGTTTGAAGTTTTTTTTTTTTTTAAAAAGTACAAATTTATAATTCACTGAATAAAAAGTTTTATCCCAAAGGAAATTTGCACACAGCCTTC